ACGGCTATAAGAAAAGAAGATTACCATGGTTACGGGCCTCTAATTGACCCTTTGATAACTCCATCCAAGCACGCTCGGAGTAAGACTTCTGTGACACTAAGCCCTCGACACATTGCTTGAGATCGAGGATTACTTCCGGCACGTCGGCCACAGCTGCAACACAAAAAACTTAGATGAGGAAAGAAGATGAGAAGTAAAACGACAACGTTAGATATTCAAGGCAAATCAATACTTACAATTCATGTTTCATTTTTCAGGAAACGACATGTCTTCGGCAGGGATTAGGTATGAAGTCTTTATTCGGACAAATCGGCCTATCCAACCTCGTTCTCGGGTCTCGTCTATGCTCGAGAATGGGGGTTTGGTGGCTCGACGGTAAAGCTTGATCAATCCTCCTCGATAAAGACGGGGACTATAGAGACGCATAAAGTGATCGAGGGTAAAAGGATGCCCCTCGCTCTTGCTTACAAAAAATCGGAGGAGGATCATGATCCTCCAGAATGATGGATGGATCTGGCCAAGAGTCACATTGTACCTCTTGCAGAAGGCAACGATGACGGGGTCTAAAGGACCCAATGTAAAAGGATAAGTGTAAACACTTAAAAACCTTTCCACATGAGTAGTGATTGATTCCTCAGGCGAAGGCACCACCACGTGCTTGTCAACCCAATTGCAGTCATTTTAAACTTGGTCGAGGAGACCGGCGGTAATTGTGCATGTGTATCTCAACATCAGTTCACATCGAACCGGTGTCGAGGGTGTATTATCTACCTTAAAGTCGGCAGCAGTAGGGCACTTTGTCGGAACGAAGTCCTCTAGGGGACTCCGCCACAGTTTTGTCACCGATGGGCCTTGATGAATAAGAGGTTTCCTTTTGCAAAACTATTTTTGAAGTCTTACCCATTTTACTTTTGTGAAGGAGAATGGAAATTGGGAAGAAGCACTTGGAATTTTGCGATGAAACAAGCGAAGGAACCCGAAGATCTGGGAATACAAAGCTTTGATGAAGGGGAAGGATTTTGAAGACTAGAGTGAAGAAGATTTGGAAGTAATGTTTGAAAAGTGAAGAAGAAGGGTATTTATAATTGCACAATGACGGTTCAAAGCCAGTAATGGCCGACCGTCGACTGACGCGTATTAAATGCCTGGGAAACTGTACCTACGAGACGTTTCGGTTATCTCTGCTACTTGCATCATGGTGCTTACGTCAAGATATATCGAAGTGAAGATCGAAGGCTCAAATGGTTCTTGTCATAACTCTCCAAAAAACGAGGGACTATCTGTATATGGTCAAATCGGGCTTGCCCTTTTAGTATGACTAGTCGAGACTGTGGTGTGACAGGCCAAGGTTTGACCCTATGTCGTACCGGGTCGTGACACGAAGTTAGATGGCCAAGCTCGTGACTCAAGGACCGATCGAGATCGAGATCAGCCAAGACTGAGATCGAGCGAGAAAGAGGTCGAGCAAGATCGAGGGAAGAATGTCGAACCAAATAAAGGAAAGCAGAGATATCCGCGATCAGGCGAGGATCGCGGCAGAAATCTAGGCACGTATCCAGGAGAGGGTGATTTATCAGTTAATCATGGGATTTCTTACCGTATTTAGGATTGTACTAGGAGTAGGACGCCCCTACTGTTTGAAGGGGAGCTAATCATTTGTATTCATCATCATATTCACGTTACATAAAGCAGTATATTCTCTTTCTCATAAGCTCTCAATATTACTGTTACTTTGTTCATACTTTCCGGTGAAATATCTATTTCATTCGAGGGCAACCTAGCTCAAGGATCAAAGCTATACATTTCATTTGGTTTGCTTTATTTATATTCGCAGTTAATTTGTCAATTTACGTTTTCACTCAATTTGTTCTAAGTAAATCACGTGTCCTTAAAACCATAGTATAAATTCAACGGAAAAGGGCCAAAAATACCCCTAACCAATTGAAAATGGCTCACAAATGTCCTTCGTTAACCTTTTAGTCTAAATATACCCTTAACGTTTTCTTTGAGTTTAAATATACCCTTAAAACTAACGGAATTCTGTTATAACTAACTGTTCGAACGGTTAAGGGTCAAATATATCCTTGTACTATCAAAAATAGGCCTTATTTATCCCCCGTTTGAGTTTCTTACCAAAAAAAATCCCCACCGTTATACATTATTTCTACATTTATCCCTTAGCCGTTAAAACACCCTCTCAGATTTTTAAGGAGCACGTGGCATCCTATGATTGGACCAGACGACCCCGCCCATTCTTTTAATTTAACCCGCCCGACCCAAGACTATTAAACCCATCGTTATATTTGTTCCATTTTCCATCGAAAAGACCTAGGATTTTTTTATCAGTCGCTACTTTCAGCTCCATTGAAAGGCCTTCTCTCCCATTTCCTTTCTTCTTCGCTTAACATACATTGGGTTTTGAAGATTTTCCACCATAGAAAGTTTTCTCATGTCAGAAAGTAGTTATTCATCAAAGAGGAGGTGCCATTGTGGGGAAATTGCCAATCACTTCACTTCAACGACTCCATTTAATCACGGAAGGAGATTCTTTAAGTGCCCTAAAACTGATGTACGTATTATTTCGTATATTCTGGTTCCATCTGATTTTTTAGATAATTTAAATTTTTCCCTTGTATTATTGGTTCATAATTACAAGTCCTATGCTTTGTGTTTGGTAGATAAGCTCGTGCGGTTATTGGGAATGGCAAGATGATGTGTTACCAGATCGAGCGGTCATTACAATTAACAATATGAATTACAAATTGGATGCCGCTAATGTTAAACTCAACAATATGAAGTCAACGTTGGATGCGACTATTCTTGAAAGAGACAGATTAAAGGAAAGAGTGGATAGCTTGAAGGCTTTAAAGAATTCGGAAGCGAACAAAGCCCGTAAATTGGAAGAGAAAGTCCTAAATATGAAGATCGTCATTATGATTTCATGGGCAATATTTATGGGATTTGTTGCTGCAATGCTAATGAAGTGAAGTTGATATATGAAGTGCAGCTTTTCATGTTTTTGCATTGGTACTTAAAGTTGTAAACAATGAAGTGTTTTAGGTCTTATATTGACCCTTAACAGTTAGGTAATTATGTAGTTGGTAAGAAAACTGTTTGTCTGAGATTTCTAACTCAAAGGAACATTTGAAATAGCCTACTATGATTACAAGACCATTTAATATACCTGCATCATTTTACACCAAGAACCGTGTTGATGTTTTTCTTGGAGCCTACTGATTAATTTATCTTTTGAAGTTGAGAGGCAATCATAAATTTCCTTCCATTGGCTAAGTTTTTGTTTATTGCAAATGTCACCAATACTACATGTTGTTGCTTTAGTAAGATAAATACCTTGGTATAGGATATGGCAACACAATTCAATAGCTTTCAAACAACTGAACTAAGATAAATACTAAGAGCTTTCAATGTATGCAAGAATTCAATAGCACTACACAAACAACAGAACTGCTATTACACAAACAAATAGCACATTTCAAACAACCAAACAAATGCAGTTGGTTCTGCCCAGCACTAAACAACCAAGCAAGCAAACAACTAAACTAAAATCTGAAATTTTCATAACAGCAGCAGTAAACAAATCTGCCCAGCACTACACAAACAGTTTGATGGACTGTTGGATGCTAAATTATGACCCCCAAAAACTTACAGACATTTGGTCATAATAAGACCTCCAATTTACCATCAAATTGAACAAAAAATAGCAGTTGATTCTACTGTCACAATGCAGTAACTACAAGCCCAAAAGACATCCTAGATCACACATCATTTGTTTCTCTTCCTTGGCACCAACTTCTCAATTCTTTGCTTACTTTGCATTTCCAATTGTCTTCCAGTAATAGCAGCTTTTCCCTTCCATGTAAGGCTGCCTGGTGAGTAAGAAAGATTTGATGGAACACTTACACCATTATGATCACCTTTGAATGCAATTACCCTTGATCCTGAAGGTTGTGATGGTTGTTGTCTCTGTTGAAGCCTTGTTTTTTCTTCTGACACAACCATAGGCCTTATAGCTGATTTATCTTCTTGTTCTGGATGCTCAAAAGCAGCAGCACAGCTTGAAGTCTCCCTATAGACACTTGGTGTAGGCATGAAAACAAACTCTGGGCCTTGACTTGCTTGACTATATTGTGGTGCAGTAAGGTTAATTTCTTCTTGTGGATGTTGCCCCACTTCTTCATCTTCATCAAGCATTCTTTGCCTTTTCTCCTTGTTGGGTGGCTATTAAACAAGTTAGATGTTAGATAGATCTAATAATGAGTTAATGAATTTACTAAATTAATTATTACCTTGTCACATCCCCTAGAATTATGCTTTGTCTCTCCACAATTGTTGCACGTCATAACTCTTCCCTTCCTAGAAACTCCCCATTCACCTTGCCTCTTGATTGCTTCATCTTTTTCCCTTGTTCTCTTGATTTTAGGCCTCCCAGCCAACTTGACTAACTCGGGTGGTTTCATTGCTTGAGATTCTTCAACTTTCCAAAATTTTTCACCCCGGACTGGCTGCAATTTGTGTTTATAAGTAAGCATGTATGCTTCTTTGCTATACCACCAATTTATTTCCTCCAAAGGATCCATCTTCTTGTACTGAATGGCTTTAATGGCATGGGGGCATGGAATTCCAGTGAGATCCCATGTCCTACATGTGCATCTCTTCATAGCCATGTTGACAGTGTGTGTATCTCCATCTTCTTTGACTTCATATCCAAATTCACCATTGGAGTTAACAAAACATCTATTAGCAATCTTCAGGTACTCATTGTATAACTTCATGCTATGTGGACTGAAAAATGTAGCCCATAATCTAGCAGATTCTTCTCTCTCCCTCAACTGGTTCATAAGCTTAATCCTTATATCCTCAAGCATGTTTATGATTGGCTTCTGTCTAGCTTCTAAAATCCATGCATTTACAGATTCTGTGAAATTGTTGTCAACTATTTGGTTCTTACACACTGTGTCAAAATAGGCTCTACACCATGCTTAAGGAGGATATTTGAGTAAAGCTTCAGCAACTTCCTTATCCAGTTTGCCAATGCTCTTCAACTGGTCCTTGAAGTCTTCCTCATATGAGCACCATGAACACCACCATAACAACTTCTTAAACTCATCTGTTCTCTATTTTTTGCACCAGTTTGCTTCAATGTGTTTAACACAATATCTATGATTTGACTCTGGAAGCACAGTATGGACTGCCTGAATCAATCCCTACATAAAATAAATAGAAATAAGAATAGTTAAAAGATACAAATAAGATAGACTTAACAGTAAGGAAATAGATAACTAGAATGGAAAGACTACCTTTTGCATGTCTGACATGAATGTAATTCCTTCGCCCTCTTTGAGATCCAATGACCTTTGAAGCAATTCCAAGAACCAATTCCGTGTTCTCTTAGTTTCCTTGTGTACAATTGCCCAAGCTAGAGGATAGGTTTGGTTATTACAATCCAAACCAACAGCAATTAACAATTGACCTTTGGCTTTCCCTTTAAGAAATGTCCTATCCAAGCCAATGAAAGGTCTCAAACCTTCCTTAAAACCCATCTTAAGAGCATGGAAGCAAATATACATTCTCAAAAATCTTCTAACACCTTGAGCAAGTGCATCCTTTGACAAGTTAATGATCACATCACTCCCTGGATTACTTTCTCTAAGTTCATTAGCATATGCCTCAAGTTTATTGTAGCCATCTGTAAAACTGCCTTCTAGTTTCTCTAAAATCTCTCTTTTAGCCCTCTTACACTTTTCATAACTGACATTTGTATTAAACACATTTTTGATATCTGCTCTCATCTCTTTAATCTTATACATAGGGTTATCTTGCAGCTTTTTCTTGAAATAAAGTGCAATTGTATGATAATCAACCCTACTATTATCAAATGCTTCATCACACTCATGCTTTAGGTTTAGTGTCTTTATCCTAACACCTGGAAGGTCTCCATCTTCAGAAATGAGAACAACAAAAGGGCAACCAGGAACACATTTGTACCTTAATCTTTCTTTATCACTTTTTTCTTGTTTTAAATCCTTTTTGTTTGCCAGGGAATATAAGTTAATACATTTTCTTGCTTCAGGTATGTCCTTGAAGCTCATACCCTTATACAATTCCTTGTAATTTAGCAGTCCAACATCAATTTCTCTATTTTTTGACATGCTATTGTTTCTAATTCCTCAGAATCATACCCTACCTCATCACCCTCACTGTCATTGTCACTCTCACACTCAACCTCACTACAATCTGTACCAACTTCAGTTAGTGATGGATGTGAATCAAAATAATGGATAATATTAGGAACATTCACAGATAATTCACATTCATCTACTGCATAGAAGTTAAGACACTTAAACTCATCAGATATTAAAGTCAATAACTGTCTTATCCCAGAATCATCAACTACTTCATAATAGTTACCAGAAGGTCCATTTACAATTAGTTGTTGAACACCTATATACATCAATTCCCTAGTGTACTCATTTACTAGATCAATAAAGGAAATAAGGTCAGAGTCATAACCTTCCCAAGAGTGAACAAGCTTCTTAGAATATAACACATGGGGTTCTCTAATCCAATCCCTACCATGATGGAAGATTATGTCCACCAAAGTCATATTTAATATCCTGAAAAGTATATAAAATAGGTCACTATTATGATTCAATAGTGTTAACAGATGAACTGAAACTGACAACAATAGAAAGTTAAACTGAAATTAAGACAAAAAAATTGAAGGTTAAACTGAAACTTAAGACTATTAAACTGTTAACAGATGAACTGAATGATAAATAGAAATTAAGACAAGAATTAAGACAAAAACAATTGAAGCTTAAACTGAAGGTTAAACTTGTAGTAGGCCATAGACAGACCAATCTCCATTCACCAAGATATACAACACACCTAAACAATAAACCCTCACTCCAAATGCTCACTTCAAATGCTCCAGTTCACACAAAAATCTGGAGGCACTCAACAAGGAACTCTAACCCCACAAACCAAAAATGAATTAAATAATGACTATTAAACAATGACTATTAAGACATGAATTAAGACAAACAGTATAGAAAAAATGACTATTAAATAATGACTATAAAACAATATAGAAAAAGTATCAAACAATGAATTAATGGACCACAAGGAAAGACAAACATGGGGACCAGAAAATCTATTAAATTTGTAACAACATGACGACATAGAATAAAAAAGTAAAGACCCACTAGCTTTAAAATATTCAGTTGGGGTCAACAACCATACAACGACAAAAAATACCTTAAACCCCAAACTTAAGACCCCATAATCTCAGTTCTGTCACCATTTTTTTCATTAAACAAACAAAAAGGCTTCAGCAGACCACAAACTATACAAAAATCCAAAAATAAATCTATCTCGAATAAACACAAACGGAAAACCCACCTAGACAACCCATGCAAACAAAATCCACTCATAAAAAACACAGCCAACGATCAACTATAAATATTTAAGCTCATACTCAAAACCATAACATGATTGAAGAACGAAATCCCTAAAAGTGACTAATTCGCGGCAGATTTAAGCAAGAAAATACATATAACAACTTCAACAAACATTTACTTGAAGAAAGCACTTACCTTTGGTTCTTGTTGTTGGAGAAAGCATGTGGAACGAATGGATTTGAGTGGGGTGTGATGAACCCTAAGTTTCTTTCTAAGGGATATGAAAGGAACGATATGGGGGGGTTTCAGGAAAATTGATAGAAAATAACGATGGGTAAAAGAAGTTATTGGGTCGGGCGGGTTTTAATTAAAATAATGGGGCGGGTTTTAATTAAAAGAATGGTCCAATCAAAGTATGCCACGTGCCCATTAAAAATCTAGGAGGGTGTTTTTAACGGGTGAGGGACAAATGTACAACTAATGTATAACGGTGTGGATTTTTTTGGTAAGAAACTCAAACGGGGGATAAATAAGGCCTATTTTCGATAGTAGAAGGGAAAATCTGACCCTTAACCGCTGTTCGAATATAACCCCACTCATTTATTAAGGAATTAAACCCACGACCCCCTTTCTCTCTTCGTGTTCTGTAACTCCATTTTTTTCGTCTTCGTAAATTTCCTTCTTCCTATCTTTCTTCCACTTTTATTTTGTCATAATCTCATATAATTTTTGCATAATTTTTTTTATCTTGTGTACTAAAATCATAACATAGCCATTAAATTATGCTAAAGGGACGAAGTCCACTCGAAAATAATCGAAAAACAACATAAATCTCGAAATTACCAAAACCCGACCCTCGGTTCCGCTTCTCAAAATTCGATATAATTCACATCAATAGATTCCTTATCTCCCCACGAGTTCATACATATCAAAAGTTCCAAAATCCGACCACAAATGGTCTTTCAAATCCTCAATCAAAGGCCTAGGTTTCTAAGCCCTAGTTTCTCTAATTTTACCCTTAATTACAGCTCTAATCCGCGAATTAATACCATAGAAACGAGTTTTTAGGTCCAAAATCCTTACCTCAATGAGTTCCCCTTGAATCCCTCTTCAAATCACCTCAAAAGCGCCAAGAACCGACTAAAAATGGTGGAATAACTCTGAAAATCGCGAAAGAAATAGCTTATATGTTCTGGCCCAGGGATTACTCATCTGCGGCCAAATTCCCGCTTCTACGGTACCGCATCTGCGGTCAAGACCACCGCATCTGCGGTCGTCACTTAATTCCCAATTTTTCGAATCTGCGATGAACATTCCGCACCTGCGCCTTCGCAGATGCGGTCCCACAACCTCTTCTGCGGTTCCTGCCTTCCCAGCCATTTTTCGCTTCTGCGACCTATCTTCCGCATCTGCGGCGTCGCACGTGCGGTCCCCAATCCGCAGGTGCGGAAATACCAAAAGCTAAAAATCTGCAGCTTTCTTCAAAAATTCCAAACTCTCTGTCAACCATCCGAAATCACCCCGAGGCCCCCGGGACCTCAACCAAAAGTACAAACATAATCCATAACCTTATTCAAACTTATACCAATCTTCAAAACACCTCAAACAACATCTAAACAGCCAAAACACATCGAATTCAAGCCTAATGTTCTAAAATCTTCCGAAATCCACGTTTGATCAAAAAGTATACCAAACCATGTCCGAATGACCTGAAATTTTGCACACACATCCCAAATGACATAACAAAGCTACTACTACTTCTGGAATTCCATTCCGACCCCTATATCAAAATCTCACCTATCAGCCGGAAAACGCCAAAAACTCAATTTCGTCAATTCAAGCCTAAATCTACTCCCGACCTCCAAAACATATTCCGATCACGCTCCTAAGTCCCAAATCATCTCCCGAAGCTATCCAAACCATCAGAACTCACATCCGTGCCCTCTAACACATAAGTCAACATCCGGTTGACTTTTCCAACTTAAGCTTTCTTAAAAGAGACTAAGTGTCTCAAACCTTCTCAAAACTTTTCCGAACCCGGGCCAACCAAAACGATCACCTTTAGAACCAATAAACAAAGCAAATAGAAGCAGAAATGGGGGAAACGCAGCGGTAACTCATGAGATGACCGGCCGGGTCGTCACATCCTCCCCCTCTTAAACAAACGTTCGTCCTCGAACGAGTTAAGAAACATACCTGAAGCCTCAAATAGGTGAGGATATCTGCTCCGCATCTCCCGCTTGGTCTCCTAGGTAGCCTCCTCCATGGGCCGATCTCTCCGCTGCACTTTCACTGAAGCTATATCTTTTGATCTCAATTTCCGAACCTGACGCTCCAAAATAGTTGCTGGCTTCACATCATAGGTCAAATCACCCTCTAACTGAACCGTGCTGAAATCCAGAACGTCAGACGGGTCCCCAATATACTTCCGGAGCATAGAAACATGAAACACCGGGTGCACACTCGACAAGCTGGGTGGCAAAGCAAGCTCATAAGCCACCTCCCCAATCCTCCGAAGTACCTCAAAAGGCCCAATGAGCCACAGACTCAATTTACCCTTCTTCCCAAATCTCATAACACCCTTCATGGGTGAAACCTTCAACACAACCTTCTCACCAACCATGTAGGACACATCCCGAACCTTCCGGTCCGCATAGCTCTTTTGTCTCGACTACGCTGTACGAAGCCTCTCCTGAATCACCTTCACCTTGTCTAAAGTATCCTGTACCAAATCTGTACCCAATAGCCTAGCCTCACCCGACTCAAACTAACCAACTGGAGATCTACACCGCCTCCCATACAAGGCTTCATAAGGAGCCATCTGAATACTCGACTCGTAGCTGTTGTTATAAGCATACTCTGCGAGCGGTAGAAACTGATCCCATGACCCTCCGAAATCAATGACACAAGCGCGTAACATGTCCTCCAATATCTGAATAGTGCGCTCGGACTGCCCTTCCGTCTGAGGGTGAAAAGTTATGCTCAACTCAACCTGAGTACCCAACTTTCACTGTACAGACCTCCAAAACTGTGAAGTAAACTGAGTGCCCCGATCTGAAATGATAGAAACTGGGACACCATGCAAACGAACAATCTCCCGGATATATATCTCTGCCAACCACTCTGAAGAGTAAGTAGTACAGATCAGAATGAAGTGCGCGGACTTGGTCAGCCGATCCACAATCACCCAAATGGCATCGAACTTCTTCAAAGTCTGTGGGAGCCCAACTACAAAGTCCATGGTGATCCGCTCCCACTTCCACTCTAGAATATCCATTCGCTGAAGCAAGCCACCCGATCTCTGATGCTCATATTTCACCTGCTGACAATTGAGACACCGAGTCACAAATCCCACAATGTCTTTCTTCATTCTTCTCCACCAATAATGCTGCCTCAGATTTTGATACATCTTCGCGGCACACGGATGAATGGAATACCGCGAGCTATGGGCCTCCTCCAGAATCAACTCCCAAAGCCCATCCACATTAGGCACACATATCCGGCCCTGCATCCTCAACACCCCATCATCACCGATAGTCACATCTCTGGCATCATCATGCTGAACTCTGTCCTTAAGGACAAGCAAATGAGGATCATCATATTGGCGCTCTCTGATGCGCTCATATAAGGAAGATTGAGAAATCACACAAGCCAATACCCTACTGGGCTCCCAAATATCAAACCTCACAAACTGATTGGCCAAAGCCCGAACATCAACTACAAAAGGTCTCTCCCCAACTGAAATATACGCCAAACTCCCCATACTCACCGCCTTTCGGCTCAAAGCGTCGGCCACCACATTGGCCTTCCGTGGGTGATACAAGATAGTAATGTCATAATCCTTAAGCAACTCCAACCACCTCCGCTGCCTCAAATTGAGATCCTGTTGCTTGAACAAGTGTAGGAGGCTACGATGATCAGTATACACCTCACACGACACACCATACAAATAATGCCTCCAAATCTTCAACGCGTGAACAATGGCAGCCAACTCCAAATCATGAACGGGGTAGTTCTTCTTATGAGGCCTCAACTGATGAGAAACATAAGCAATAACTCTACCTTCCTGCATCAGAACACACCCAATACCAACTCTCGAAGCATCATAATACACGGTATAGGAACCTGAAGCTGATGGCAATACTAACACTGGAGCTGTGGTCAAGGCAGTCTTGAGCTTCTGAAAGCTCTCCTCACACTCATCAGACCACTGAAATGAAACACCCTTCTGAGTCAACTTGGTCAAGGGCGATGAAATAGGCAAAAATCCCTGAACAAACCGGCGATAATAACCCGCAAAAAGAAGAAAGTTGTGAATCTCTGTAGCTGAGGACGGTCTGGGCCAACTCTGAACCGCCTCTATCTTCTTCGAGTCCACCTGACAACCCTCGTTGGACACCACGTGCCCCAAGGAAGCCACTGAACTGAGCCAGAACTCACATTTGGAGAACTTTGCATAAAGCTTCTCCTCTCTCAATCTCTGCAACACCACTCTCAAATGCTCCGCGTGCTACTCCTGACTATGCGAGTATACCAGAATATCATCAATGAAGACTATGATGAACGAGTCGAGATACGGCCGGAACACACTGTTCATCAAATGCATGAACGTTGCTGGTGTATTAGTTAGCCCGAAAGACATCACCAACAACTCATAATGACCATATCGGGTCCTAAAGCTGTCTTAAGTATATTTGAGTCCCTGATCTTCAACCGGTGATAACCCGAACGGAGGTCAATCTTGGAGAACACTCTCGCTCCCTGAAGCTGGTCGAACAAATCATCGATACGAGGCAAAGGATACTTGTTCTTAATTGTTACCTTGTGCAATTGCCTGTAATCAATGCACATTCTCATCGTGCCATCCTTCTTCTTCACAAAGAGAACTGGCGCACCCCACGGTGACACACTAGGATGAATAAATCCCTTATCCAGGAGTTCCTGAAGATATTCCTTTAACTCCTTCAACCCCGCTGGTGGCATACGATATGGTGGAACAGAAATGGGCTGAGTGCCCGGCACCAGGTCAATACCAAAATCTATATCCCTATCCGGTGGCATGCCCGACAGGTCTGCAGGAAATACATCAGGAAAATCCCTCACAACTGGAACAGAATCGATACTAGGAGTCTCTGCACCGACATCCCTCACAAAGGCTAGATATGAAAGACAAACTTTCCCAACCATACGCTGGGCCTTCAAGAAAGAAATCACCCTGCTGGGGACATAATCGGTCGAACCTCGC